GCGCAAAGTTACTCTTGCAGCTGGATCTGTTTGGCGCAGATGAAGGTCGAAGCGAGTTCCAAATATAAGTGGTTTTAAATTATCATGTATGACCGGTACAACGTTACTGGGCCCTAGTCAAACCATCCGACAGTAAAGTTACTGAATTTTCAGCTTTATATTTTTTGAGCTGTTTACTTTAAGCAGCCAGATCACTTAATCAGTTATTGGATAAATACGGGACAGATACACAGAAAGTCAGGTCTAACAGGGTTTAAAACACTTTTTAGTGACTAACAGCAACGCCATTTCTAACATTAAATGTCTTTGTCACGAATTTGTATAAACTTAATAATTTCCTTAAGCTTGCTTTTTGTTATTCCAATACGGTTCTAAGTATTTAGTCATGCACAAGGGGTAGTACTGTAGCCACTCAACCTCAATAATTCCAGCTAGTGCGGTAGTTATTTGTGGATCTATATATCCTTTAATTAAATGAGTGCGTTTGTCTGAGAGCACTGGAGTTTCTGGCTACTAGCAGCTATTACAATACCGGACAGGAGTTTGATTGGTTGCAATGTGAAAATGATAAAGTGATAATTCAGGTTTTAGGAGAAGACTGTAGCTTCAGTAATAAATAAACGAGCTAACTAGTTAGTGACGTTCAAGTGGAAGAAAACGAAAGAACAAGAGAGGAAACAGAGGTGATGATAGGAAAATAGAAGTATTCACTGACATGCAGTAATGATGACCACGGCGATTTTTGAGACATGAATTACTCTCCTATAGCTCAGTGATAACAATTTCAAGTATTGTTTTCGTAAGACTAATGTTTTCATACTATCGCCCACTTGTTTGCGTGCCTCTGTACTTGGTTCAAGAAATTTATGTCTGTTTTGAAGAAAAGGAAGGAAACAAAATCGCCGACTTAAAACTGGTTGCGTGGGTACGCTTCAAAGAGACTCAGGAACAACTATGAGCAGAATGAGTCAAGTCATCCTCTCATAAATTGGAGAACCTTGCTGCATCCCCTAAGTATTTTGAAATAGTGTGTATGCTCTGTCGTTACAACCCCGTGATAGCTCTAAGGATAGACAGTCGAGGGGGGATTTCCAAAGAGCATGTTTGTACCTTGTGTCAAATGAAGCAGAATGTGTACGTCTTGACATTTTGACAGTCTAACTATCAACCTATCATCTGCTCCACATTTTTCTGTTGCCATAAGGTCTTTTTGAAGTCCAAATGAGTCAATTTTATGTTTTATAGACCTACAGATCTATGCGTCATCTGCACAAAGCGCCGCCGAGCCTATTTTGATAAAGATCAAGAATAGGAGTGGACTTAAGATTGTCCTTTGTGGAACTACTGATGTTGAGACCATCGAACTCGCGTGCACTCTAATCGCCTTGGTGAAAGACATCCCATTCCCTGGGTGGTCACTGCAACCCATCTTTGGAACTTTCGCTATGAGAAGTACATGAAGTGCCATGTCAAAGGCTTTTGTAAGGTTGAGGAATATTATGTAAACCGGTATCTTATGGTCCCAGCAGGTCCTTCAGTTTCCCCATAATATGAGTAGATGGAATTCACAGGATCTGCCTTTCCTGAACCCGTGTTAATATTCATGTTTTTCTCTGTGTATTCCTTCATTCGTTCAGTAACCAGTCCGTTCATTGCCTACACCGGTATTGAGAGTAATGTGACTGGTCTATAACATGCTAGGTATTTTCTATCCCCATCTTTGAAGATTTGAGAGGGACTGGCCTTCTTTCATTATCTTGGCAGCTGGTGTGAATCTAGTGAGTGTCTCAGTAGGTCACACACTGCTGTGCTGAAGCCTTTGGTGGACTGTTTCAGGACCATAGGTCGGATGTCGTCACATTCTGGTAACTCTCCCAAACTCAGGGGCTTTATCTACTAATTACTAATACGGGAGTTGGTTGGTTATCCCCTAAACCCTGAAATGGCACCACAGGCGAGAGATAATCCGCGCTTGCAGGTTCCGGGTTTGATTAGTCCATGAGGCTGGCATTAAGGATTTTCGCCATCTCTAAGTTCGTGGAACATTTGTTATTTGGCTTTTTAAGGACACAGATCCCCTGGTTTACAGGTTTTCACCTGGTTATGAATTTGCAAATATATTTAGGGTTAGCCTGCATTTTGGCTGTCTCTTCAGCCTGGAAACATTCACCGCTTCGGACTGGCGATGTATCCACTTCTTTATGACAAGTAATAGCTGTGACCTGAATTCTTTAGGGAGATTTTCCACTTTCTTCAAACTATTTAGTCCTCCTGTTGCAAGCGTTCCGTGCATCTCTTAATCCAGGATCTTCGGTTTCCAGGTGTGTGCTTGCCTTGTGGCACATTCTGTCGGATCGCAGTATAAATGATATCTCTCACGACCTCTCAGCGATCTTCTACTATCGGTATCCACGATTCGCACGATCATGAGACATGCTGAAAATGTTCCCTCATCTTCGTGCAGTGCGGTAGAGTGTAGCTGGAGCGGGTTACGTTCTCGTTCATGCGAAATATTTTGTCTGTGACCACGTTGAACATGACGGTACTATGGTCACTATTTCCTACAGGTCTATCGTTCTTATTCCATTTCTTGGCGCTAAGCACATGTTTGGTCAGTTCCTAACTTTTATTGGCCATGAGAGCCGCTTATGGAACCATCCTGTAGCAGCTATACCCAATTTGCTGAGATATATGGCCAAAGTATTGAAACCTCCAGCTAGTAGTATTTGGTCAAACCACAGATATGGTATTCTTTGTATAACCTGTATTATCTAATCTGTTGGGGTGCCAAAATCTGTGTGGCGATGGTATATTATCCCAATCAACAACTCTGTCCCGTTCGCCTTGGAACAACGCCAGCATTATTCTGTTACCTCGGTTAATCGCTATTCCACCTCCCGTTTTGAGTACCCTATCGTTTGCGAAAAGTGTCACATTGTGCATGCACGTTTCTTCATCCACGATATCGGGCGGTAGCCATCTTTCAGTTAGGACTGCGACAATCTGATCTTACTGAGAGCACATATCATACCACGGAACAACCTAACCAAGTAACTGATTACATTAAACCCTGTAACGCTTGCAACGCTTTTATTTTGCCTGTGAATTGCCATGTCTTCTCTAACACACTGATATACGTAAACAAACTACTAATACATGTCTCTGAGTTATTGCAATCGTCCCCTTGGTCTCCTTAGGTAGCTATATAGTCATTTGATCGTTTTTATCACCACCTGATGCTCCTCTACAGCAGCACCTGTCTTTTGGTTTTTAAGCAGATTGTTGTCTACAGTGTGTTGGCCGGTTCCGCGTAAACAAACTGCTGTAAGTCTTCCTCTGCATAGAGTGTCCCAATAGCTGGACTGTGACTTCTATGTTCTGTACCGTGCATTAAAGAATCGCTTAAACGATGGTCTCTTGGTTGTCAGTAAAATTTCTTCTGCAACATTTGCTGAATCTAAAATTAGTCTTAATAAATAGGGTCTAATTTTCGCTACGACTTTTTCCCTATACATACGACATAGCTTGACTGAAGTGATACTCTTACAATATGTTCTTATTCTTTTCTTTTATTAGTTCCGTTAGTGTACTTTTTACACCGTCGGCAAATGTCCCAGAATCACGAACACTACTGCCTGGGTACTGTAATATCATAGTGGTAGTGAATACAGTCGCTACAGAAATTACACTCAGATATTGAGTCTCTGGCTTTAACAAGAGACAAGCGTGTGATACAGTTATCGCTTTTTTGTTGTTTCCCCCCAATAGTCAACACAACGGGCAGTCTGAAACACACTTTTCTCCTATTTCTTTCTACTTACTAGACTTATTTAGAGTGAGGGCCTGGGTAGGAGTGCGATCCTGATTACTTGGTGGGAAATTTAGTTTTAGTATTCAGGTCAGGTGATTCATGTTGCAAACATTACTTTGAGGTTTTTTCTAGCATCGTCTTCACTTTTCTTATGATCTTTATTCTAGAGACGCGGATTTTTTTACTTACTAATAATCTTTGGGTTTAGATCACTACCTGTGCTAGTCATCCTTGTAGATAGTGTAAGTACTGATGTCAAGGTTATTACTGTACACGCTACTCTATGGACTAAAAAATAAAATGAGAGACAATTAAACGAGGGTGTACGCGAGACAAAAGTGAATATATGCTGCACGAGAATAAAACATTAAAGACACTTAGAATTGCAAGCGAATTCGTGTAGATCCAGTAACTTATTCACAGGTACTGTGTTTGCAAGAGTCTGGAAGTGTGTACGTTGCTTTCGGGGCAACCGGCAGGATACAAACTGATCGAGACAGCTTAACCTACCACAAAATGATTTAACCTTGGTAAAATTACGGTTGTTAGATTTGTTAGCGTGGTTATCTACTGGCAGGGTAAAGACACAGTTCATATCCTTGGAATTGTTTAAATACTCCAGTACGGTAGTGGAAAAGTAGACTTTTTCGGCTATTGGAGAAAATCGAATAGGACACATTAGACTTGAAGATAGCGCTTGTCTATATTCTAACCCATTTACCTTCTTACATGCATCAAAGTGTTGTCCGCAGTGATTTCTTTACATACGTGATCTGCCATGGCTTCGTATCTGCTAGGTTCTCACCTCATATCAGAATCTAGGATAACTAGATTCAATTTACGTGTTCAAGCAAATTTAACCATAACCTCTGATAAGTGCAGCTTGACTTCTCAGTCTTTTCTGTAGTAATATTCGAAATAATTTCAAACTGGTTTGTGACTCTTCGTTGACAAAGTCATCGCAAGCTTTTTAGACTCATTTCTTCACAAGGCTATTTGCTATTGGAACATCCCGTTTTTAGGCCAATGACCTTGTTGTTTTAGACGGTTGTAGATCATCGAAATATGAAAGTAGTCAGCTGGTTCTGCGGTTCAACTATGCCTGGCCTTGATACCATGGTCCCCTAATTTTGATCATACTGCATGATTTCTATGTAAATTATTACTCCTCGTCAGTACTGAGACATCGATGTTGGAAGTTTCTTGTAGTGGTAATGACCATACTGTGTTAAGTTTTAGTAGAGAATGTGAACATGTCAATAACTTCAAAATAAATTATGGAGGTGGATATTTCGAAAATCTCAATAATTGTAGTTTCAGTGGATATAATGAAGCATCAGAAAACTTAGCAGCTACAAAACGAACTTTCAACTTGAAAATAATACCACAATCACAGTCGACACCTGAATGCAAAGAAAAAGAACCCAGTATCACTAAGTTGGAAAGCCCAACAACTATATCTCAAGTGCGTTCTCTTTGCCGCAGCTGTGTTCACAATGACGATGGCTCTGAGGCGACTACTAGCTTCCCACCAAGTACTACGAAAAGTTTCCCTGATTGCTTTACAGATACGTTTGAAAGTCTAGACGTACAACCTCCTCTGCTTGATTACCTCGTCCGACATCATGCTATCAGTGAGGAATCAAGCCTTAAAATTATGCAGGCTGATAAATTGCAACGACCTTCTTTGTTACTGAGTGCTGTCGGTCTCCCTGTGTTTAACGGAATTATCAACTCGAAATCAAGTCCTACATGTTCTTACGCTCCACCACCAGGATTGGCACTCCTGCTTAATGTATTGCGGCATACGGGTCATCATGAACTTGCCAGCTACTTGGATTGTAGTCGGAGAATCAATCCATCATCAGTCGACGGAGGAATGAACTCAGGATGCTGTGAGTTATCCTATATTTTTCACGAACATGTAGTAAGTATCATTATTGCATGTAGTAACGTTTTATCTGCTCCTGAAACTGATTATAGATTGTGATAAGCTGCTTAGTGTTTGCAGGACGTTTTTTGTACACTGTAATATTTGTGAAATCATCGAAGTTTACAAGAGTATGGTTAGTAGGCTTGTTGATTTTCTTTGAATATCTTGTATTCCCTAGAAAGTGTCTGACAAAGTGGTGGACATGATTTGTTCTGATAAGCTCGATTACATTCAGAGCCCCCTAAACACCTAAACTAAAACTCTCTGGACATTTGTCATTCTATCAATGCTGCCTTCGGATTTGGTTTATATTGATGCATACTTTATGGAGTCATTTTATTTCGCTAATCTATATGTTCTCAAATCATATCCTTACGGTCTTTTGTCACAAAAACTGTTGATACCTTTACTACTCTGAAGTTTCCCTTGACAGTTCCATCTTTACTGTGCTAGTGGAGTGTACCAATTTGAACCGTTGCACGCATATCCCAGGTTATACGTTGTGACTGACTGGTTCTTCAATGTTGATTACCTACGTCCACATTCAAATGATTATTGAAAGTCCTTTGATTAGCTTACTTTTAACGTAAGTGTAAAATACACATAACAACACTGGTCGTGTTGTTATCGAATAACCTAAATGTTACCAAAAGTCAAACATATTGTGCGTCAGTTCACTCTGTCTTATTTGACGGCTGTAAAGTATTAGTACTGGTTGTGGATTACGTATAAAGTTAAGGGCTTGTGATCACTGATATTTTTATGTCCGTCTAACGCATCGAATGAACAATATTGAGATTAAGTTTTGTATTGCATCAGTGAGAAAGGTCTCAACCGGTAACGTCTCGATGTTAGTTTTCACTATAAAAGGATTATTGGCCTACTGAAAGGTAACTACAAAATAACTAAGTCCGGCTACTGAGATCTGTAAGTTGCATGACCAGTACCAATAACCCAGATTTACCCGTTCCTTATATTGTTACGAAAAATATACGCTTTATTCTGTATCTTTTATCCGCTACATCAACTCATTTTCCTACCGAATTTCTTGTTTTGTGTACGATATTTTTCATTCTATTACTGTTTCCAAGACATTTTGTTTCCCCTCGATAACTACCCCTTTTTGTACTGCTTGTGGACCGAGTTAATACTGCAGTGCCACATCTAATCATTGAAATACAATCTCCTGCTTTTATCTATAGTAGATACTGTGATTAAAGCACAGAAGCAAGCAAAACTCCTTCGCCTCGCTTATTAGCTTATATTTTGGCTATAGGTTGGTGGAATTACTAACCGTTGGTTTATGTTATACCGAATGATTTAGGTCTCTTAGGTAGGTTTTGGAATAATTTAAGGTTGAAAACTAAGTTATGGCTCAAAGTCATCAATACTGTTGCAGATGTATTCGTCCTTAATCTTCCTCTTGTTCGTAAGTAATATCATTCTCTTTCTCTTCTTTAATTAGTTTCGCTCCCACCACCACTACTATTAGCACCACTATTTTTACTCATTTGTTTTTCTACTCAATGGTTTTCACTCACCCTGCCGGTGTGACATTTAGTAATTCAAAACTATGCATACTTGTGCTGCGTTCCACACTTCTACCTATCTTTTTCATAACAAGTTTGTGACCCATGTTTAAGTAATATTCATTTTTCTTACAGCCGATCTCTCTGATAAAAGAAGACGCGGACAAATCTCATTGTGGATTCAATTATTAGCAATCAAAGTATCTCCAGCTCTTTACAATCAACTGACACCAAATGCTACGAGAAAAGATAGTTTCGTTTTGCCATCTCATGTTGAAAAAATGCAAGAAAACAATAGACCCTTTAATTTAAACGGTCAAGATGAGCGAAAGCCAGGACATCTTCAAAGGTAAACTATTCATACTCTATGTTTTTCTAGACACACCAATTAACAGAATGATATTATTCGGCTAATCGTTTTTTACTTACTTTTTATTTCAGGGAATTTGGCTACTGTTTTTAAGTGGCCCGTTTGTGAAACTGCCTCTTGACGAAGCGTCTGAGCATATGTTCATTAGGCTATAGGCTAACAGGGCTGTCGAACTGTAGGGTTTTTTGGATATAATGGGACTCAAACTCGTAATCTGATAATTAAAAGATAAGATTGTTTAAGTGTCTGAGTTATGAAACAATATTTTTTTACTGTACTAGTTAAAATATCCCAAACCCAGTTGTCAAATAATTCTTCTTACTGAAAAGTTTCCAGTTGAGATAGACTAATGGGCTTTATTCTTATATAGTTACTAATATCTAAATGCTCATTAATAGATATCAACGCTGGAAGCTTTCTCTTTATTTCTTCCGATTAGTGTCACTGGTCTATAAAATCGTGTAAAAAGCGAATCTTGTCGTAATCATGTTTAGCTTCATATCTTTTAACTAAAGAGAACTGTGCGTATTTTTATTTGTCAGATGGGAAAATATCTGTGGTTAATATAATTATCATTGTTTCTAAAAAGATCAACCTATATCTGTGAAGAAATTACGTTCCAGTATATCACACATGTAATTCATACCTTCTACAACTGTCGTAGCAACATCTAATTATATTTACAGTTAATAAAAGTCAGTTTTTCAAAACAATGGATTTTTTTCCTAGAAAACTTTCGATAATAGTTAACTATTTCGGTTGTTCTGGCTTATTCAGGTAAACCCTTGATTTTTAAGGAATATTACAAAGATTATTATCATTAATAAACTAGTATCTGACAACTTCTACGAACTCATGTGAATTGGCCTGCTACCTGTCTACGATTTTCTTTTACACCTATATTTAACTGATTTGCATGGCTATTTTGAAGTGAACTTCTACCATGCTCCAGAATCTTTATCTCCACGATTCAATAGATAAACACTATTAATTTCATACTGTGCACAGCTTTTAATCGAAGATATTCTGTTAGCTGTAAAGTCTAATAAGTAACCATATCTTCATTTTGTTCCTTAGGTTACCATCTTTACCTATATGGATAGACCATACCACCACACCCAGACTAGCTACAAATACTAACCAGTCAAATATGGATTATGTTAAGCCAGCAGAAAATACTATCAAAAGTGCCCGTAATCAGTGGATCAAACTGCTCTTACCTCTGGTCTGCTGCTTACGCCAATCAAAATCATCAAATAAAATGTCTCCAAAAAATCCACCTGTTGATGGTTGTACAAAATTTAACCTGGCCAACAATGAGACATATCGGGATATTAGCTTACATCAGAATTCATCAAAAGATGATTCTAAATGTCCAATTATTAACAGTGCAGATGACTACAAAACTCGAATGGTCAGTCGAGCTATACTGGACAGTAAATCCGTACAGTTTTATAATACAGTTCTTGAGAATGGTTCATCACTACGTGACGCAATCGTTAAATACTTAGAGCAGTCATCCGGTGTTCTTGTATTAGACTGCAAGTTAGGCCGTTTTTCGCAGACCTTCAACAGTAATAGTATGGCTCCGGAATCAGTATCTGCACTGTGTGTGATACTGATCGCTACTCAGTCGGAAATAATCAAACGGCTATCTGAGGACTGTAGTTTGCATTCTTCAGAAACCAAACCTTCATCAACAGAGGTCAATAATTACTTACGACTTCCTGTAGTAAAAACACTCCCAAGTAAACTTACGCTAACTTCCAAACTTGCAGATGATCTTGCTACTGTTCTCATTCGTGCAGGTGCATTATGTCAATTAGAGTTGCAAAATTTACGACTTTCAGTCACACTGGATCCAAAAGAAGTCCAACTAGCTATCAAAGAACTTATGGATTTGGAAGAGTAATCACTACTAAACTCAAAAGACCATAACTTAAAAAACTGCCAAACACTTTGTTATGAGCTGTGATATACTTTGATGTACACTGATCCCTTTTAATTACTAGTTGATTACCCTCATTACGACATTTTTGTTGTGTCTTCCAGTTAACGCATTTCACTGATGTGATTATAATCATGCCAGTTTACACTGATTTATATTCTTCCTATTGTTTCTTCTGATTTTTTCCTTACTCTGTTTCTGCTAATAGTCGTTCCTATGCTTTGAAACATTCTAAAAATAATCATGTCCTTAAAAGACTTGTAAATCCTCAAATAGTTACAAACATAGGAATGTGGGTAAGTATTTTAGTAACTGGTCTAGACTGAAGGAAGTATAAACTCCACAATATCTAGAAGTGAGTATAACGTATGATGTAGCTGCACAAACATCTTGATGTTACGCACTTCATACTCAGTATTTTTAATGCTAACAAACAATTTGTATTGAATATCAGCAGGACCATTGTAGTTTTCCTTATAATTCTAATGCTGATCTACACTGTTAGTTTGATAAAACAATCATGTAAATAGCTCAGATTATTAGCACAATAAATTGAAGCAGAATATAGTACGATTTAATTTAATCCACTAATATACATATGCCAATATTCTACTCAGTCATCAGGAGTTGAACTAGCTTACGAGTTGTAATATTGCCCCAGCAAATGATAATCTACTGAACTTTCTATGCAGTGCTACATTCAGAAAAGTCCCGTTCAAAGGATTCGGGTCGACTCATAGTGGTAGATTAATGTCGCACATTATGAGTTATAATTTTCTGACTGGATATCAACAATGTCATGCACTTTCTCATGATCCGAGTGACATCCGGAAAATCAGTAATTATTATTTGACAGTGAATTCATTATAAGAGAAAGAAGTATTGCTCCAACATGGTTCAAAATCTGGATTCGAAGATTCAAGTAAACATACTCTTGAGACGTAAATATTGCTAATTTTTACTTGGGACTGCGATATCCGTCTACGCTATCGTGAAAGTTTATTGCAAATTGCTTGTTGGAAAATTGTTGCTTAGCATTTAATGATAAATTCATAGCAGGACCTGATACATGTTAATTATTAAGTTGTTTGCATTCTATTTCAAACGATAAACATACACTACATTTGTTCAATTAAGCAGACAGATCGTTCTCATCATGATAATTGGAAAACAAAATCCTGTTTTATGTCCCGGTATTAAAAGGTACATAAAGTATCCTGTGGATTCAAATCAGACTACATTGAAGAAATTATATGCCTCCAATCTGTTGTCTCAACAAATCCTGAGGCTGCTACTCACATTTAATAATTTAATGTTGACATGATAGCTGTCTCGAAAGTATATAAGGTGCTAGATGGGTAGGGGATATCCTGGATTTAACAATAGTAAGCGAAATCCTGTTCTCTAGTAGGATTGCCACCTTTAGGGTTACATAACAAATATCCTCTTGTTAGGAAATTACAGTCGAAAAAATTTATCTCCCCTGGCTTCTTGATACCTTGCATAAAAAATCAATGGTCATTCGCTAAATAAATAATAGTTTAGGCATTGTACAATTTTCGAAAGTTCCGTGTAGCACAAGCCACCCAGCTTCCTGTCCTTTCCAAAGTGTATTACGTACTCCTGTTGCAAATCACTAACTGACAAAATACATTATCAGTTTACTGGTCGGTAACAATCGATTTGACCCTCTAAACATTAGTCGCATACTGGCCAGTTCAACAACATAGGCCAGATTTATGCGATTTGGCTACCTAAAATAAGTCTGCTCTACCACACCAGTAACAAACTAACTAGCTTCCATAATAAAACAGCCTTGTATTATTCAAATGATTAAGACATGACCATTGAAATCGGCTATTGTTGTTGGTACCCAACAAAGTGTCAGGTAAATGTTTATGTACAATAAAATTTTTAGCTTCTCACCATACATAAAATGAATCCTAATTACGAGTATTAATGGGAAATTAACAGTTTTAATAATGCGGTCATTTAATGAACTCGTACTACGTGATAAATCACTTAGCAATAAATTATAGAGAAACGGAATCTATTTCATGAATAATTAGTCAGTCCATAAAAGATAGTAAACTTCATATGAAGTTATCCTATTTCTTGTCTTTTATTGTTTCAAATTGTTTATTAATGTACATTTTTAGAATACAATTAAATCTGATAGTAATAATACTTTATTAAATATAGAAATCTGTTTCTCAATAGAAATAAAAGTCATACTGGCAAGGATTTGATAATTGTACAAAAATGGATGAAAAAATACATACATGTACATGATATATATATATACATATATGTGGCTTATGGCAAGTTTATCTGTAATAGAAATGCTGTGAAAAAAATGACGAAAATATTTAATCGTAACCAACTATCCTTGGAAACGTTGTTGCTTTTGTTGGGATTACTAGTTCACGTGGTCGTGGTCGGAAAGAAAGACGGTCTTTTCGAAAATTCAAGTCCATACAACCCAAAGTTCCATCGTAACGATTTTTAACTACCTGATTTATTCGAAAAAAATATGTATATGTATAACGATTAGTTAATCGGTAGTTTCTGAATGTTTATGCAAACTATAGTAAATATTTGTCAATCATTATATGTGACACGGTCGTAATAAGAAGCCTCAAGGTCAAGGGCACAAAAACATTTGTTATGAAATATCAGCCAATAGGATGCTGATTCAAATATGCGATAATGTACAGTTTAAGGTGTGCTTTTATCTACCTTTGTACAAATTTATTTGCCAGTCTTAAACGGTACACAGCTGTTGCATGTATATATATATATATATATATATATATATATATATATATATATATAACGCAACGCATAATTATTCTCATGTAACTCATCTATGAAACACAGTTTTCAGTATTTTTCTTCGAGTAAAACTTTTCATATAAAGCCTAATAATAAGTCCTTGACTTGCTAATCTTGTATCATTGTGGTAAATTTGAAATCTACAAGTCAATGGTTAGAAACTACGCATTCCAACAATTAAATATACATAAGTTAATATCAGGAGAAATTCATTTCATATTGAAATAGTAGAAGTAAATCCGTATTAAAATATAATTGTCTGATAAAAAAAATTAATCAATATTATTTCTGTCCCATCAAACTCTCCTCGAGATGAGTCACCACATACAAAAAAAAATTGAGAAAGAAATAGGATAACATATAAAACATTTTGTTTTGACGGTGTCGATTAAAAAAAGAAAAGAACTGACTGGTGAACTGATATTTAATATTGATCATTAAAGTAAAAAAAAAGGATGAGAAGCTGTGAGAAAGTCTCGAATATCCATCATATTAGTTTTAAATAAAAAAAAGAGTATAGTTCATGTTAAAACACTTATCTTGGTACTACTTTTGAAATATTGAAATGTTTGAGTTAATAGCGACTATTATAAATAAATAGTTTGATAGATTACTATAGTAATATGATCGAAATACATGACTATGTAAATCTAAATATGTCTCTAAGTATAATGATTCACTTAGTGTTGTTTTGCTTGAATCTTCCCATTGTGATTTAAAACTGCAATTGATCATTCTGTTATTAGCATATAAACATACTGTGCGTATTGCCTTAATTCACAAGCTTTATAAGCAAAGATGGATAGTGGCTAGCAGTGGAATCCAGGATGCGCGTTTCGTCCTATTTGGGACTCGTCAGCTGGATGTACCTGCGAGCCCCAAATAGGATGAAACGCACATCTTGGATTCCATTACTAGCCACTATCTATCTTAAGTATAATGATGTTTCTAATACATTCAATAACATCGTCAGTTATTAGCAAGACTATCATACAATTAAACTTACCATTCATTTGAGTTCAAAATTAAAACTGAATGCAAAACCTGTATGTTATTGAGTAATTATAAGTCGATAGATCAACCGCTAAACAAAACCAAGAAAATTATTTCCCTAATACTGAAGGATAACACGAAAGATTGTTGTACAATCGTATTAAATGTAGTAAGCATCTAATTGAATAGTGAACTACATCAACAATGTAATAACAATAACAATTCTATCAAGATTAATAATGAAACTTAATAACTAGTGATATAATAACTTAAAAAGAAAAAAAAGACTAGTGAATAATGTACACCTTTCGATATAAACCGTTATAGAACTATGCATATCAATTTACAATTGTACAAACGGTCAAAAGGTTTATATTATCGATTCTAATTATACACAATGGGAAATTTCGCTAACTGAAAAAAGGTGTAACTCGTGCTCAAAAACTGATAGTTGTAGAAAGTTTTATTTATTTATTATTTTTCTTCTTGGTACTGCTAACCAATTACACGTATAACAGTATAATGAATGATAGAACAGTTGAAAACAAATTCATAGAACTTGTAACAATAATCAAGATTGGTTTCATCATATAATAACGATGAATAACATTTTAAACATGATACTACTGATATCACATATCAGAATCAATTGTACACAAAATGTAAATAAGAAAAAAAATGGACGAATGAATCTCACAGGAAATTTTCATTTCAACAAACAAAATAAATAATAAGCGTGGGGTTTATCATTATAGATTGATTATCACCTGGAGGATTTATGAGAACTAGATACAGCTTGCATCATGACAACACGAAAGTATCTATGTCAGTAGTGTGTGTAGACGCACTTCTGAGTGAGTTTAACAGCCCCACCCTCACTCTTGTTACACAACCTACCTATACAAATTTATTCTGATCTGAACAGATATAAAAGCATACAATCATGTGACTAATAGATGCGTGTCATTTTTATCCTGCTGTTAATAATTCAGTACTTATTTCTCATAGACCATGCCCTTTAATAAAAATACACTTTCTAAATTTGTCCGTTTATCTACTTAGTGTACTAAATCTATGATCATATATAAACCGAAGCATAAGTGATTCAACGATTTGGTTACCAAGTTAAATTCGCAATTATCCTAACTGCCAGTTAACATTCCTAAAATACACATAATCCTAATACATTTAATATTCGACTTTCAGTATCGAGTTATACAACAGGAATGTATGTCTAGGTAGTACACGAGAGAATAATTATGGAAACAAATTTCATTTGTGTCAGATAGTGGTTTTCAAATGCTTAAATCAATACTGCACAACCTCAAACAAATGACAATATTTATCGAGATCTCGCTCAAAAATTCAAGAGACGCTATCTAAAATCTCATTAGTTTATTAATAAATTAGTGTTATATATTATTTACAAATTAATGAACGTTTGAGGTTAGAAATTAAAATTAGGAGTTCGAGTGAGAGAATAATTTCTAACCGCATAAATACCCTTGAACTATGCCTTAAATCACGTCTATAGTATACATAGATATAATCTCCATTAGCTAGAGATATTTCTTATAGTTGAGTGTACCCATCGAGTCACATTCATTTTGTACGGTTGCACAAGAGGTATTTTTAAACATTCTAAGCATATTTACGAACTAGGTAAAAACGACTTTTATTTGATTCCTAATAAAATACATGCTATCCTTCACTATACTTTGAATTTAATGTGAAAATCCGATTTGACTGGTTCTCCCAAGGTTGTCAGTATAGATTAGATTTATTTTATTGTTTCATTGGTAAGTAACACCATACTTACTTCTGATACTACAATTGCCTAGTGCTTCCTGGTTCACATTGATTCCCGAGATTAGGAGATAAAATTTTCAAAATCAAACTAATCTTTACAAAAACTTTCGATTGAATGAAAATAAACAATAACTAATGTATACATTATATTAGTAATGATAAACAAAGATAAATCTCAGAAGTAAAAACAGTAAACACGAAATTCCATAAATTAAATTAGTCATCAATACATGCTAACACATCTGTCAATTAGGGATTTTATCCCTCAGTAATCAAAATGATGAAGAATAATTTGTCAATAAGTATATATATTAGATATAAACTGTTCATCATAAACCCCACAAGTATTGTTTAATCATAATTAGGGAATTCCACAACTAACATTGTGTACGTGTACCTACGTAATGTATTTTGCATACGAGATAGTGTCATTGACCAATTAGAGTACAACTAACTATATAAAACAATACTGACTACTACTGTAGTGAACATGAACACCAGTGGGGACAATCGAATGTATTTGACACAAAATTACAGGACTTGTTAATAAAATCTAACAATAAAATAGTAAATACGTAATTTGCAAAATGTCCATCAATTGTTTCATGACTCAGACTTCATTGTTCTTGCATTTTCATACAAATTGCATTCTGTTCCCGTTCTTTACTGTCTTATCCTCTTGTCTCTCTGCTGCCAGACATTCTGTTCCTGATTAACATCATATACTACTTATGTCGATATAAGTAGCGCACACACCACACTACTCAGTTATAAACTAATGTAAATATCTTATACAGAAATTTAATTACAACGCAAATAGTTTAATTGTAATCTCTCTCTCTCTGTGTGGTGATGATGCTGTCCAATGCCGATTCGAATCTATGCAAGAGTAATATTTCTTTAAATACTCTAAGTATGCTTAATCTACAAGTGCTAATTCGCATGAAACTTATTTCTGGGGATTCCTGTTGACTGCTATCACCCATTTAATACAAAGATACAATATATCACGTTGTTGAGCTGATTAACATAGTAATTTACTTTTTAAACTCAAAAGATAGAGCTTGACTAATATTCTGTACCCAAGACATGACATTTCTTACAACTCTACTATCGATAAGTACAATAAGTTGGCTTTTATTTTATTATTATTTAATGGCTTTATTCAATATTATATTTTGGTACAATATAGAATTCTCAGCACAGGGTATTTCAACAAGTTACTTACTGAACAACGAACAAAAAGGCAGTAGCGAATACATAAAGAAATATATAAAATAAAAATTAAAAAAAAACCAAAAGAAACTACAAACTTTTAAAATTAAAGACATGTTAAGAATGTAAGTTATTGACTAAGTTAATTCTAACAACCTGTTCGTCACAGAGTATATCTGCTAGGTAAGGTATTATAGAACTTTTATACTTTTCCTTGCGTGCATGGATTTTAATGTAATTACGTCTCGTTCTACCAGAAGATATACAAGGAGAAGGATAAGAGTGAAGGGGATGGCTAGTATCTGATAAAATAACACCTGCCAGGAGTTTGCATGATTTTAAATGTCTGTCCACAACCATATTAATTATGACCTCGAAAGATTCACCACACGTCTTACTAACTGCCTTTAGCACTCTTCGCAATACAGCAAAGTCTTTTCTCAAAAGCCCGGGAAAGAATAATGGAGAACAGTAAAGAATAATAGGTAATATGCAAGAATTGACAAATTGTAAGAGAAAATGACGAGTAATTCCAAGAGCATGCAATCTCTTTATGTAGTAGGTCAGACGGAAAACCTTCTTTGATAACGATAAAACGTGGGAAGACCAAGACAGATCAGAGGAAAAGGTGACACCAAGATAATTGACCTTCGACACCGCG